ATCACAACAACATAGCCTTGTGGAATCAGAAAGCAGTGAAAAGTTGCGTCGGGTTCACACTAGTAGAAAAAGGCCCATTTGTCCCGGTTTTAGAGGGCCTTTAGTCCCGGTTCTGGAACCGAGACTAAAGGGTCGGGACTAAAGGCCCTCCACGTGGCCCCTGTCTAGAGCTCCACCTTTAGTCCAAGTTGGTAACACCAACCGGGACTAAAGGAAATTTTTTATTTTTAAGAAATTTTATTTTTTGAATTTTTTTTTCTAATTTTCAAATTTCTGAATTATCTTACAATTTAATCTCTAATCACCACTCATCACTGCTCAATTTAACCTCTAGTCTCTAATCACCCCTCATCATTCCAAATCATCTAACTTCATGGCCGGTCACCCATCCTCTCACTACTCCAGCCTGAGCACGCTTAACTTCCGGGTTCTATTCTCCCTCGTTTCTAAGTCTGCAGTTGTTGTTTTCCTAACAATAGTAATTAAGATGTCAATCCTATTAACCCTTAGGAGTTTAGCTTGAGCATGAAGTCACAAGTTTCATTGTTTGAGTTTGAAACTATTATTCTAAAAACAATAATTATTTAGTAACACTAATATTTCTTGAATAAGTAGCTTGACCATAGTATGACAATAGTTTGACCAGAGTTTAACCACAGTTTCACCAGATTTGACCAAAATTCAAAATACTAAAATAAGTATTTAGTAACACTAATATTCTTGAATAATTATTTAGTACCACTAATACTTCTTGAATAAGTAGTTTGACCATAGTTTGACTAGATTTAACCAAAATTAAAAAAAAACTAAAATTTGAACATATCTTTTTTTCCTTTCAGAATTTGAGGATTCTAAAAATTGGCAAACAGGCCTACGGCGGCCAAAATCGGATGCGGATTTTCATGCTGATTTTTTTGATATATTATGCGTTTTTTTCAACATCGTATGCAAAAGATATGGCCGTTTTACTTTTTCATAACACTTTTTTGCAAAATATGTCTAAATTTAAGTTTTTTAATTTTCCTAACTTATAGATGTAGTGACATAACTACATCTCGAAGGATTTTAATTTTTCAAGTTTTTATCATTTTGTTTTGCTTTTTACAAAACAGAAAAGGCGATCCACAGGGGGGTAGAGTTTGAAAATAGGACCTTTAGTCCCGGTTTGAGACACGAAACGAGACTAAAGGGTGCTGCCGATTTGAGACACCAATCGGTACTAAAGGGCATTGCACCCTTTAGTCCCGGTTCGTGTCTCAAACCGGGACTAAAGGTCTCATTTGAACCGGGACTAATGCCTTTAGCCGCACGAACCGGGACCAATGCCCCCATGGATCCCGGTTCGTGACTGAACCGGGACTAATGGGCTTATCTGGCCTGAAGGAAAGCCATGTTTTCTACTAGTGTCAGGAGGTGCAACAGAGCCGACAACCACCTTGACTTTGAGGTTCTGCCATTGCGTCATAAGTTGGCACTGTTGAGCCTCCGTGATAGCATCCACGGGGTAGCTAGGAGCCGTGAAGTCAGGCTGCTGAACGAGCTCAGTTGAAGCCACGCTGCTTCTCCGCTGAGCTTCTAGGGTAGCTTGGACAGGTCGCTGGCTCTCAACTTGTTCCTCTAGCTTTCGTACCCTTGCATTCAGCTTCTGCAGTTCGCTCAGCTCCACTTTCCTCCTCCTCTCTTGGGTTCTGTAACCGCCTGCGCCGGGAAACCCAACCTTCCATGCAACGGAGCCTGGCGTGCCTCGCGTTCGTCCAGGGTGCTCAGGATTCCTGAGGGCCTTTGTGAGCTCGTCGTTCTCTCTGTCGGGAACGAACGCCCCTTGCTGCATTGCGGCGATATACTATTGAAGCTTCTTGATGGGTATTTCAAGTTGCCTGTCCGTCCAAATGCACTTCCCTGTTTCAGGGTCCAAGATTCCCCCAACCCCAAAGAACCAAGTCCTTGAACGGTCTGGCCAGTTCAATGTCTCTGGTTCGACCCCTTTAGCAATCAGGCCAGTCTCAGTCTTGTCCCACAACGGTCGGGCTTTGAGGTAGCCACCTGACCCCGTACGATGGTGCTGCTCCCTCTTTGCAGCATTTTTCTTGTTTGTCGCTGACATCTTCTTACTCCTCCCCGATGTCTTGTGGGCCACAAATGCGGCCAAGTGATCCCTTATCTTCTCAAGTCAGCAGGTGAATTCTAGAGTATTATCTTTATCGACATACGTTGATTTCAACTCATTCTTCCACCTCCTAAATAGATCTGCCATCTTCTTGAGAGCATGAGCCTTGACCAATGGCTCAATAACTGGCTTATCCGGATCCTCCTCTGGCGGTAGGGTGAAATTTTCCTTCAACATGGTCCAAAGATCATATTTCTGTCTATCTTCAACATAAGAAACCTGAGGGTCTTCGTTCTTAGGCTTATTCCATTGGTGGATGCTGATCGGGGTCATGTCCCTAACAAGAACCCCGCACTGAGCAGAAAATGCTTCCTTGGTCCGGATGGGTTCAATCGGTTGGCCATCGCCCGCGATTGCTTTTATCGTGAACCTTTCATTCTGGCGCAACCTTTTCTTCGGGCCTCGTCTCGTTACCGAAGTTTGGCTCGATCCGGAAGGCTATAAAAAAAGAAAGAAGAGTTAATATATGTACATACCAAAACAACTAATGTATCAATTAGCTAGTCAGCACAGGCTTATATATATATATATATATATATATATATATATATATATATATATATATATATATATGTTGAATAAGTATTTGAAAAATCTTATCAAGCATTCTAAAAAATGTTGGACAAGTATCTAATTTTTTTCAATGACGCATTTGGAAAATGTTGAACAAGTATTTGAAAAATATTGATCAAGCATTCAAAAAGATGTTGAACAAGTACTTGAAATTTTGTGAATAAGTATTTAAAAAATGTTGAACGAGTACATGAATAATGTTGAACAAGTAAGTATTAAAAAATGTTGAACAATTATTTAACAAATGTTGAACAAGTATTTGAATTTTTTTTAAAGTATTTGAGAAAATATTGATCATGTTTTTGAAAAATATTGAATAGGTATTTAAAAATTGTTGATCATGTATATAGGAATATAGAATGAGAAAAGAAAGAAACAAAGAAAAACCAAAAATAAAATAAAAACCAGAAAATAAACAAAATAAAGAAAGAAAAAGGAAAATAAAAAAACTAAAGAAACAAATGAAAAACCCGTAGAAGAAAAACAAAGAAAAAAAAAAAAAGAGAAAACCCCACTCTATTTCTCTATAAGTAGGGTTCGCCCTACTACTGTCATTAACCGAAAGATAGCCCAGTGGCTTGACGCAGTAGCTCTAAACTAGGAGACCACGGACGAAATCACTAGTTAAGGAGTACTCGTTGCAAAAATCATTCCAATTCCCCGTATTGCGACAAGTGGCACACTACATGTGCGCCACTTGTCGCAATCTGGGAGTTTTCCCCTTTTTCGTAGATCCGTTTATTCAAAACGTTTTATCTCTTAAATCGTGCATCCAAATCTCGAACCGCTTTCGCCGTTGCATTCCTCGCGTCGAGATTTTCAAAACTAGATCCCATGTTAAAAGGTTTTGACGAACTTTTTTTTTTCACGAAAAACAACCGGACGAAAAAAATCGGACTGGGAGCACGGGATTTTCCCTTTCCGAAAGAGGCACGTCCGTGTCTCTAACGAAATCACAACCGTGCCTCTCGCAAAAGCAAAACCGTGACTCTCGCGAAAGAAAAAAACAAAAAACACGTTTTTTTGTTTCCGAGGAGGCACGGCCGTGCCTCTTGCGAAAGCACAGCCGTGCCTCTCGCGAAGCAAAACAGTGACTCGCGAAAGAAAAAAAATAGAAAATGTGTTTTTTCCGTTTTCAAGAGGCACAGCCATGACTCTCGCGAATGCACAACCGTGTCCCTCGCGGAAGCAAAACCGTGATTCTCTCAAAAGAAAAAAAAACAAAAGGTGCGTTTTTTTTCGTTTCGAAGGGGCACGACCGTGTCTCTCGCGAAAGCACAACCGTGCCTCTCGCGGAAACAAAATCGTGACTCGCGTGAAAGGGAAAAAAAGAAAACGTATTTTTTTGCGATAGTTTTTTTTTATTTTTTTTGTCGAAAAGGTAGGGTAGACCGGTGGAAAACCAAAACATCAAAAAAACCTGGAAAAAACCGTCTAAAAGGCCGAAAACGCGTGCGAAAAAATAGAAAAAAACAAAACCCGAAGGAAGCGTTCAGAGCGCGACATGTGGCGAATCGCTGAGAGCGCGCCACCAAATAGTCGCTCCGTATGGGCCGGCCCGATTAGCGTAGTCCCTCAATTGAGCGATCGATCCTTCCCGTCTCGCTTAAAGCCAGAAAGAGAAATAGTCGCTCCGTATGTAATGGGCTTCACAGAAAATGTTGGAGACAGAAGTCAGAGATCTCGTGAAGTCGATTGGAAACCTAGAGGCAGCCACCAAATACCCCACCCCCGACTCCCCGCTCTCCCTCCCCTCCCCTCCCCTACCACCGAGGACGCAGGCGAATGCCATCTCTTTCGACCTGGGCGATGCCCTTCTGCGCAGGTGAGGCGGCCGCACCTACCTATCCCCATCTCTCCCGATACGATGCCGGCAGGTTGGCGAAATCTCGAGCCGCCGTGGGGATAAGAAAGAAAACCCTAAAGAGTCTTGTCGATCGGCCTGAGTTTTGGGGATGCGATTTTCCCTCCCAGGAAACGGATTGCTAGGATTACTCTTCCATCGTGCGGTATCTTCGGTCCCTTTTCTTCGCAGGGCTAATCGGATCGGGCAGCTGCCGCCGAGAGCCCTCGTAGACCATCCCTTCTTTTCAGCCCAAAGTGGTTCCCTAGCCTTGCCTTAGCACAATTTTCTCCGAGTTAGATAAACCAGCTGTTAATCTGTTATATGCTCGCCCCAGCTCAGGCGGTACTTCAGGCTTGTGGGTGGGGGTCTGTGTAATTACATTCACTTAATTACGTCTGCTTTGTTTCTCGTCAGGTAAGATTTTTGATCCGTGGTCGCCCGTAAAGAAGATTAATGGCTGTTCAACCACGCTCTTATATGAAACGCCCTCTGGCTTCGCAATTATATCTTGTGATGGGGTCAACCCCAAGATTCCAATGGAGGTACTTGTTTTTCCGTTGCTTCATCCCGAAGAAGAATTCAAAATCATCTAACCACGTTTTTCTCTGTTTTGACTTCTTGCAGGACATCTGGGCATACCCACCAGAGGTTCTTACTAGCCCATTTTCCTTCCTACCTATCTCATGCTTGTTGCCAACTGTAATGCATGCAAAATTCACTGCAATCTTTCACCAGTCTCTATTACTTCGTCTGTTCCAAGATATTTGATGGTCTAGGTTTGTTCCAAGTCAAATATACATAGATATTACCACTCTCTATTACTAATATTCTTAACATCAAATATATATAGTAGGAGTATACAAATATACTGTATGATGAATCTAATAAAACTAATTTGGTCTTGTAGATGTTTATATATTTTTCTATAGACTTGGTCAAACTAAAATATGTTTGATTTAGGAGAGTCTAGAAACTTCAAATATTTTGGAATGGAGGGAGTACTTTATAGTTTATATCACAATAAGTTTCATCAGTCCACCATGTGCACTCATCAATGAAGCACTAAACCTGAGAAAATAGGAATTGATTATACATATGCTCCTGCAACCAACTAACAAAATTCTTAAATATGAATACAAATTGCAAACATTCTAATATCTAAACACTTGGTTTTGACAGATACGTTGAGACCCAATTTCGAGGCCAGCGAAACATATGGGCAACCAGAGCAAGTAGTTGTGAAATTGAATCAAGCTAGTGGAACCTATTTTTCTGTGTTGGAATTGATCATTATCTCCATGCTGTAGGTTTCGGTGTCATTGTGCGCCATCTTCAATGGGCAGACATCTGTTAATAGGCCCTTAAAAAATGATTTAGTGCAGATGAAGCCTAAGTGGTTACTGTTATCCACAAATTTGTAGTGAGTGGTTACATCGTCATACCTAGCGATGAATGAGCTCTGACATGGTGCTTCTACCAAGAATGCCACTATGAATTTTTCTGATATACTATGATCTAGCTTCCCATATTAGCAGTTCTGTCAGTGCCACTGAAGGAAGTGTGTAACAAAGACTTAAGCAACACTATACTTCACGATTGGGGCACACCTACTGAATTACCCTGCCTCTTGTCATGATTTAGACACATTGCATGATATTTAACAAGCTTTTTTAAAAGCCCTCTTGTGTTTCTTTCTCAGAATGTCAGGGTGGTGAAATTCATTGAGTTTGAGGACAAGTGTACTGCCATTGACCTTGCCAAGGAAATTATTGATAACAAACTGTCTGACATGCTCACCGAGTTTTGTGGCTCTGAGCAGAAACTACTTGTTGGCCGTGCTGAATATAAAAGAATAATTGAAAGGAAGCTGGTTAGTGTAACTGTGTAAGCTTCCTTGGTGCTTCTGTTAGTGTGAACAGTATGCTCACCATTTGTTTTTCCAGGCAATAACCTGTCAGCATGATGATATTGTGGAGCAGATGATTTGGGGTCTAGAGAATATCATGCATAATCTATTGGCTGAACAAACATCAGAGCTGAGGGAGTATCGCTGCCTCAATAGCAAAGGATTAATCCTTTTCTTACATCAATATGGCTTTCTTGTCAAAGAAGAGTTGGTGAGCAAACCGCTTGCCCTCATGTCCCCTTATATCTGACATGGAAATGTTGTCTTCTTTATTGCTTCATTGTGATACAATTTTAGCCCTTTCTTTCTTTTCAGTGTCATTACCAACCTTGAATAAGTCTTCTCTGGCAATGCAGTGTTAGTCCTTTTTGATTGATTGTGTGCTTATAATGCTTTATTGCCAATGAACAAAGTTATGCATAGACATACTATTCGTATTATAAATTAAAAAAAATTAATTTAACGCTTTCTAGAACTTTTTACCTTTTTCCTGTTTCTATCATCACTGATAGCAATGCTCATTTCTATCCATATTACTGAAAGCTTTGTTGAGATGGCTTGTCGCTTGTATCATTTCGAGTTAGGTGAACAGAAGAACTTGGATTCATTGTGCAGTACAATACAGGAATTGGTTGACGTATCATCTCTCACTAAGGATTGGAGTTTACTCAAATTGGCAACAGCTCTGAAGTTTCTTGTTTACCCTAAACAATCGTATGAAGTTTGGAAACCTTCTCAGGTGATTGTAATGTGTTCTATATGTATTTTAAGTATCCTTACGCTCGCAGTTATCATTTGAACACTGAACTGAATTGTGTTTCTTTCAGATTTTGTCAGCTTCTGAGTATCTGAACATAAAATCCATGAGACGTCAATACAGAGAAGTGATTATGTCTGTGGTTGATGTCTTGTCGGTCTACAAAGATGTTCTTGCTCTCTATGAAAAAAGGCTTGAGATTCTGTCAGATATAAACCTCGTGCTGCCGCTGAGGCCAAAGAAGATCAAATTATGGAATTCTCGTTTTTTGAGAAAACTCAATTCGACTGATTTATGTACTGGCTCCAAAGTTGGAACAGAAGCTATTACTGATGTTGATGGTATGCTTGACTCCGCCACTCAAAATAATTGTAGTGGAGTAGCTCTTGTGAAGAGCAGTGAATTGGGTTTCCCTGAGACACGACACGATGTTACTTATGATATGCAGGCTGGAGATACTGATACAAAGCATACAAGTGCAGCACGAAGCATGGGTGAAACTCAGAAAGAGAATAACATTAAAGAACCTGGTGCAATGGGAGTGAAAGCAGCGGACAGCTTGGAAAATTTTGAGCTGCCTCAGACTGCTGATGCTAGCAACAAAACGACTGCACAGCTTACTCAAGAAACTACTGGAAATGGGATGAAGGCTCTAGACAGTGCAGGTGAAAGCATGCAGAGCGGACAGGTATTTTCCCCGAGAGGCGACGAGAGCAAAGAATTGGATTTCCCTGCGACACTACAAGATGTTCCTTGTGATAAGCAAACGAGTGCAGCACAAAGCACGCGTGAAACTGCGAAAAAGAATAACATTGAAGAATCTGGTGCAAAGAGAGTGAAAGCAGAGGACAACTTGGAAAAATTTGAGCGGCCTCGGACTGCTGATGCTAGCAACGAAACGACTGCACATTCTACTCATCAAGAAACTAGTGAAAATGAGACGAGTGCGGCACAAAGCACGGGTGAAACGGAGAACAAGAATAACATTGATGAAACTATTGCTGATGGAGTGAAAGCAGAGGAAAGTTTGGCAGATGTCATGCGGTCTCAGACTGATGACTCTAACCTGCACATGACTGCACCGCAGGACCCAAATAAGAGCCAAGTTGAGCAGACTCAAAAAGCTGCAGAAGGCGAGCTTACCAGAAGCCAAGCTGAGCAGACTCGAAAGGCTGCAGAAGGCGAGCTTACCAGAAGGGAAAAGTTCAGAGTGAAGGACATTTTGGCTGAGGACGAAGCCAAGACCAAGCCAGCAAAGCAACGTCTATGGAGGTGGCTTATTCCCTGCCTCTCTGAGCAATGAGTCTTGTCTATCTTCATTCACTGGAGTGCATTAAATCATACTCCCTCCCGTCCCACAATATAAAACAAGCTTGCAAAAACGTCTTACATTGTGGGGCGGAGGGAGTACCTAATTATCATGTAGGAATGGATTTGGGGTTCAAAACCTGTAACGTTTGGTAGTGATCTGAACTTACTACATTATATGTCCTGTTCACCTTTAAACTTCACAATCGTGATGTGTTTGTGTATTTGTTGGTGCAATGTATTGTAAGAGCATCTGCGGCAAATCCCCTAAACATTTTAAATTGGACGCAGATAAGTTCGAGTCCTCAATGTTTGGGATTTGACCATGACAAATTGAACGTTTATTATGGCAATTTATATTTGTTGGCGATGACGAGTTTATATTTGTTGACCATGTCAAGTCTAGTTGGTAAGTATGGCAAATTCGCTCTTAGTTTGTTTTTTGTTAAAAAATTACTGTGCTTGTGATGCGGAGCATCCTTTGGTCCATCCCCATGGACACTACTTCGACTACTCAAGCTCCAAGTGGACCCATGACAAGAGCTCGAGCACGTGCTATTCAATCCGAGGTTAACTCTCTCCTTGTTGAACTTCCCTTTGACCCACTTGAGACATGGCTACTACCTCAAATGGAGATGCTTTGTGTGATTAGGTACCAAGAAAGCAACCAAGGAGAAGCTACGATGCAAGATGAACATCAAGAGCATGGAGAAGGATTTTCCCAGCACAGAGATAGAGGTACTATCGGTCAACTACCGGTCAACTACCGGTCCACTGGTACCACCGGTCAACTACCGGTCAACCTTCTGTAATCAAACTGGTACAAGGCCGGTATCGCCTCGGTTTATACCGGAAACTGCCACAAGACCAGTACTACCGCCCCAACCACCGGTTCTACTGCTAAACCCCTCCGAGAACAACCCCAGGAAGCAGCACTTGAGCCCCTAGCGGCACAACCGCCCCCAAGACCGGTACTACCGGCCTGCCTGCGCGCAGTGAGAGGGATTTCACCCCATGTACTCCCACTTACCCCTTGGACTATATATACTTGTCTCCTAGCTTCGTATTAGGGTTAGCGTTGATTTAGCTCATTTGTGAGATAGAGCCTCGCTCATCCATCCGGATGTACTCCTCGTGAGGGACCGACACCTCTTCGGAGAAGATCCTTGTTGGATTCAAGACCTCCATCCGGAGAAGACTATCATCAAGACCTCCTCACGGAGAAGAACGGTTACCTTTTGTATCGTCCTTTGTTGGACATGGATCTTGTATTACTTTGTGCCTCGATGATCTAGCGCTTGTGTGATCATATTCTCGTTGGTTGAGTGTTTTCCTCATGTGTTTCCCCGTGATTTCCCACGTTCCCCTTCTCGCGTTCTCCGTGCTCCTCGTAGGGATCCTCTCCAAACGTGAAAGATCGGCCCCTAGAGTCCTACCCTACATCATCTTGGTATCATGAGCCACGTTGATCACGTTTTTGGAGCACCTACCCCGTGTTTTCTAGCTTGAATTTGTTGTTTTCGTCCTAAATCCGAAAATCCCCAAAAAATAGCCCCAATTTTTTTTGTGATTTGTTGGTGAGATGAAATTTTGTTGGATTTGATCCATGGATTTCGTGTGTAGCAGGTAGATCTAGCTTCCCCACAAGTTTCCCCACCTTTCCATCCACTAAATCCCTCCAATTTTGCCCCCGAAATCACCCATTTCCGCCCAAAATCGCCCCGATTCAGTTTTTCCTACCCCAGAGGTACTTCCGCCCTCCAAAATCGGTAGTTTCGCTGAGCTCCAGGACCGGTACTACCGCCCCTCAAAGCGGTACTACCGCCCTTCCCAGTTTCAGCCTAGGCTGATTCACCGTTTTGCCCATAACTTCCACACCCGGAGGCCGATTTTTGCGTTCTTTAGCTCGTTGAGAAGCTATTGACATCCCCCATCCATCTAGATAGGTTCCAACATCAATAGACAACATAAAATTTTCCGAACTTTGGCATCTTTGGCTAGGGCTTTCACCACATCATCCGTTATACCACCACCGCTTTCCGCTACCACCATTTGATTTTGGTCTTTGAGAATTTGAGTTGTGGTTCCCGTGTCCTATTGTGTTTCGGCTATATAGGCACGGTTCGACGTCAACATCACCACCGCTCATCTTCGCAAAGGACTCATCCTCGCAAAGGACGGTAACCATGACGACTTCTTTGTCATTTCCATGCCATTTGCATTGATAACCACATAGCCTTACTTTTGCGTTGCTTACCCATCGAGACTAGCCTTTGATTATTGCCGGCAACGTGACTTGTGTACATTAGTGATCATACTCCATAGCATACATACCATAGTGGTGCATATCTTGGCATCATCTTTTGTGTCACAAAGTTGTCATCGCATACACAATTGCTATCTTGGTTCGTGAAGTTTTGCATGAGAAAAGAGCTCACAAGTGAAAGAGCCAACCAAGCTTTTAAGCAAAAAGTGAAAGATAAGCAAAGAGCTTATAAGCAAGAACCATAGCATCTTATCACATTTAGATTGTCATATCCGATCATCTTGGATCATATCACCGAAATACCATACATATAGCATACTTGGGATAGAGGTCATTGCATTTTTGCCTAGTAGGTTGTGCACAAGTCCGTATCCGCCTATTGTGCAATCGTGCTAGCGTCTCTCTAGCATTGTGCAACAAGAGCATTTTCATGGACTCCACATTTTGGCTCATTTTTGATTTGCACAATCCCACTTATCTATTTGCGTGTGTGTTTCCATGTACCTCTACTTGCTTGGTCTACTTGTTGCATCGGCAAATTTGTGAATCTTTTCCAACATTATTGAAGCACACTTACTATTGCATCGAATTTTGTGCCACCATCCTAACCAAGCTCCACCATAAGCTTTTACTTGTGTAAGTGTGAGAACCGACAAGAATTGGTACCAATAGTGCTATTTCATTGTCCGCATTTGAGTGATCTTGATTCATCTCCAATATCCGTCAAGGTACATTTGGTATAAGTTCTTCTCCTTCTACCACTCACATTTTTGCTACGAATGCTGGATAGGCCAAGTTCTTCTACCAACCCACTCTTCATCGAGCAAGACGATGACATGTCATCATTCGTCACCAAGAGCCACCTCTTTGGTGCACAACGAGCGCTGCATCAAGAGCAACAAGCAATGAGCGACCACATCCACAACCTTGCCACCGGCTTGCGACTCTCCGAGCAACGTACAAGGGACTACTTCGACAACAAGCTCAACGCTCACAAGCAAGAGAACGATGCAAGGATGGACGAGATCCGTGCCTTGTTGGTGAACCGCCATCCTTCAACTTCTTCATACTCAAGATGGAGCCACTCAAGTCGACACTCCGACGACACCTTCTTCGGCACAAGTACACCGACATCGAACACTCTTTGCCGTGCCGCGCGTCAAGACCGTCATGCATCTCGAAATCATCTACATGACAAGCATACACAAGAGCAAGTCGACGAGCAAGTACTTCGTCCTCAACCACACCAAGTTGCTTTTGCACAAGCTCAAGAACGCCAATGTCAATGTCGCCAAGAGGACAAATGAGCGTGTCTACACCAAGAGGAACAAGACGCCGAGGCTCAACGTCTTCAACAACAACAACGTGAAGCAGAAGCTCTTGAGGCGCAACGTGCCCTTCAAGAATCGAGTCGAACCATCGCCAATGGAAACCGAGATAGGCGCAATCAAGAGGAAGCACTTCGAGAAGAAATCCAAGAGCGGAACTACCAACCACGAGTGCAAAGTCAAGTTCCTCAAGCTCCTCCTCAACCTCAAGTTCAACAAGAACATTTTGATCATGGACTTCCTCCACGCCAAGAGCAACATGAGGATGATTATCCTCCACGTCAAGGGCGTCATCATCATCCTCGACCACAACACAATGAAGAGCACGCTATGGCAAGCTAAAGTTCACAATGCCCAAGTTAAACGGAAGCAATGATCCCGAAGAATACCTATCATGGGCATTGAAGGTCAACAAAATCTTTCGTTTGCACAACTATGAGGAAGAGAAGAAGATTGCTATGGCATCACTTGAGTTACAATACAATGTGCTCATATGATGGCAACAAGTCCTTGAGTGCCGAGAAGCAAGAGGTGAACCACCAGTCACCACTTGGGCTCAAATGAAATATGTCATGCGAGCACGTTTTGTGCCCACCTACTACAACCGCGAACTCTTCAAGAAGCTCCAACTACTCAAGTAAGGAACAAAGAGTGTTGAAGAATATTGCAAGGAAATGGAGATAGCCATGATACGAGCCAATGTCACGGAAGATGATGAGCAAACTATGGCACGCTTCTTGAATGGCCTCAATCATCCCATCAAGAAGATTGACGACTTATAACCCTACTCCAACCTCATTGAGCTCGTGCATCAAGCTACCAAACCGAAACATCAAGTGCAAGATGACTTCAAGTACGCCAAGTACTCATCCAAGACCTACGGCTTCTCCAACACCCAAGCTTTAACAACTCCAACTCCTACCTCAAACAACGACGACAAGTCAAGTTACAAGAAAACTTCGACAAGCTCAAGTCGTCCTCCACCTACTACAAGCAACTTCAAGCCGCGCGCTTCATCATCTACTCCAACCGATGAGACCGTAAAGACAAGCTCCTTCAAGTGTTTCACTTGCAGCGGCCGCGGCCACAAGTCCTTCCAATGCACAAACAAGCGCACCATGATCCTCAACGATGATGGAACCTATGATTCCATGAGTGAAGAAGAAATGGAAGCCCTTGAGCAAGTGGCCATGCACCGGCGTGTGAACAAAGATGAAGATGATCAAGTCTTTTTTAATGATGATTCGAGCCCTGCTCTCGTTGTCTCCAAAGTCTTGACTCTTTAACATCAACAAGAAGAAGACCAAAGATGCCATATCTTCCACATAAAGGCCGGCATCAATGGAAGGTCCGTCAAGGTCATCATTGATGGAGGTAGTTGCCACAACTTGGCAAGCAAAG